ATTAAATATTCTGCTCATTAATGGAGTTAAGCATTGACATTACATAAAGTCATTATTCAAAAGTTAAACAAAAACGTATGAAATTAGATATTTAGACATATTTGTAGTGGATGCGCTGTTTTTTTTTATCACTTTTCTTGTTGCATGTTGTTTTAATGGCAGCGAGGAGTGCTAGACACACTATTTTTTCTTTAAACTGCAGATCTCATGTTAAGAATTTTTTTAGCAAGAACATCAATGATGCGCACTTACTTAGATATTGTGGCAGACACTGCTGGATTCGGTGGTCGAACGGTCCACTGGCAAGTTTAAATGCGTCCGAATATATTAGCCTACTGCACAACTAAGGCTGCACGGAGGTGTTTATTTTGCGAACATTCAGAACATTTTGAAAATAGCATTGTGATTGAAGGATAAAATCTGAAGCAAACGATAAGATTAGCATGTTTCTTTTTTTTTTATAATATTTTGTCAGTGACGCCGCGTCAGACAATTATGTACACTTATTTACACACACCGTATTTCTGATTCAACTATAGCCTATTTAAATATCCTAAAACATTTAATTTGTTTAAAACAATGATATACTGCTTTGGCCAGTGGAAAAGAAAGATCCACTCTATTCTAAAAAGATTCTCTGAGAAGTATTTTATACAATTGTTTTTACATTCATTTTGATATATTTATTCGAAAACAAGACAAGGACAGCAAGTTATTATTTTTTTTATTAATGTATTGTACTGTACAAATTGCATTTTAGTCCGCATGTCATATTTTCCTTATGTCTTGTACCTTTGACGGTGTTAAACATGGTGTCACATGGATGGGAATATGCATGGAAATGATATGCACATGAGTTTATGCATAGTAAAACTAGGCGTTGTAAGCTCCGTATATGGTGATTTTGGGGAAGAGATGCATGTCCACACAATCTTCCGCTGACAGGGATTTATAAAATGATTTTTGCGCAGGTTCTAGCTTTTGTGCGTACGTGCACTTTTAGGATGAAATCTACGGAAAGTTTTATACATGAGGCCCCTGGTATGATAAGTGGCCTGAAAAGCGA